CCACACATATCCCCACACTGTGCCTTCTATGTCTTCTGTTTGCTATGTTTTTATCTCCACTATGTTGATTGAGTACTTGTGTTCTAATTTAGTTGTATTTGAAGATGTATTATTTAGCTTGTTATCTTTTCTTGTAATACTGTCTTATCCCTTTATAAATTACTATACCTACTATAAATATGTTTTATTATTACAATCCCTACCATGACTAGTATTGGGTGTTCCATTATTCGACTCCTCTATTAGAACTTTCAGAATAGCCATGGAGTAGTCTTTGTGTCGCGGTACATTTGGTTGTCAATATACAATATACTTCATGGTCGTATTGCTGCAAAGAAACCACTACTAAAGTACACCAATAAGAAGAAGAGACTTGCTTGGGCCAAGAAACATGAGCAATGGACATTAGACCGGTGGAAATTTGTCCTTTGGTCTGGAGTCCAAATTGGAGATTTTTGGTTTCAACCGCTGTGTCTTTGTGAGACGCGGTGTGGGTGAACGGATGATCTCCGCATGTGTATTTCCCACCGTAAAGCATGGAGCAGGAGGTGTTATGTATGATTACATTTTTTTTTTTATATAAAAAATAATAATGTATGACTGACTAAAATGTAAAAAAATGTGTTATTATGTGGGGCTGCTTTGCTGGTGACACTGTCTGTGATTTATTTAGAATTCAAGGCACACTTAACCAGCATGGCTACCACAGCATTCTGCAGCGATATGCCATCCCATCTGGTTTGGGTTTAGTGGGACTATCACTTGTTTTTCAATAGAACAATGACGCAACACACCTCCAGGCTGTGTAAGGGCTATTTTACCAAGAAGGAGAGTGATGGAGTGCTGCATCAGATGACCTGGTCTCCACAATCCCCCGACCTCAACCCAATTGAGATGGTTTGGGATGAGTCGGACCGCAGAGTGAAGGAAAAGCAGCCAACAAGTGCTCAGCATATGTGGGAACTCCTTCAAGACTGTTGGAAAAGCATTCCACGTGAAGTTGGTTGAGAGAATGTCAAGAGTGTGCAAAGCTGTCATCAAGGCAAAGGGTGGCTATTTAAAGAATCTCAAATATAAAATATATTTTGATTTGTTTAACACTTTTTTGGTTACTACATGATTCCATATGTGTTATTTCATAGTTTAGATGTCTTCACTATTATTCTACAATGTAGAAAATAGTAAAAATAAAGAAAAACCCTGGCTTGAGTAGGTTTGTCCAAACTTTTGACTGGTACTGTAGATATGAAAAAGGACATTGAGAGATACAGGAAGGATAGGCCAATCAATGGGTGAGGTATAAAGGCGGAAGACAGAGAGAGAAGAGATTGTGTAGGGATACATAGGGATAAACTGGTGAAGAAGTGTTAAAAGAGAAATGTGTGAGTCGTGCCTGAGGCTTCAATGGGTGATCTTTTTGGCTCATAGAAGTACTAAGAGCTATACTGTAAATTGAAAGCTGTCACACTTTTGTTCATTGTGAAAGAGAAGTATAGATGTCAGGGCAGGTAGCATGGCTAAATAGGAATGTATCTCTTTAGAGTCACACCACAAAGAGTGTAGCTTTACTGGAGAATATCAATCCCGTTCTACTCGCTGAGAAGAGCATGAAATCACCACTAAAGAAGTCAAGCTATACCAAGACCTACGCAATGTTTTGAACATACATTATATGGAGACAGCTCCTGTTTCTTTGTATTGACACAACCACAGCATTTATGTGTAGCAAACATGCTGTTCAGCTTCAATGTTACATTTTTGTAGGCTGACTAATGCAGAACAGGACTTTCCAATAAGTCAAACTCTAAGTAATCTACCTTCAACAGCGATTCACACGATTTCTGTTGTTGTGGGGCTATCTTTTTTTCTGCCTTACTTCCTCATTCTACAGTACTATATCGTGTTTACATGAAGATACAGTCAAAGACGATAGAGAAAGCGGTTGGTGCTTGCGTGGCGAATGAACTAAGTAGACCAGACCCAGCTGCCTATGCGAGAGCCACCCCTTACGTAGACCGGAACTGTGATTGATTTGTTTCCAACGGTAAAAGGCCTTACATTAGAGAGAGATTTTTGTCTGAAAAACATACTTGTCATTTTCCTTAATTGTTGGATCATGGGCTCTTCTTAGCCATAATTGTTTCTGTGACAGCTTGGGCAGAGCCATTGAAGGCTTTCTCCAATTTCTTCTTCTACTTCTATGAGTTATTTTGACAGTCAGTAAACAAACAAAGGGTCCATACTGACACCTGGAGTGTGTTGTCTGAACAGGTATAAAGCAAAGCTTGGTGATTTACTGCCACCTGCAGTCATATAATTTTTGCTCAGGAGTGTAATTAATTGTCTGATCCATCCTGCTGATTTGGATGGGATTATGTCATCTTTTCATTAACCCATCAGAAGTCCCATCCAGTTGACTACTTAAACATGGTGAAAGTCCTCAATGGCGCTGCCCATGCTGAAACAGGCTTTGTGGCACGTGAGCCGTCTATCCAAGTCTATGTGGTCTCAGTGGTCTAAGGCACTGCATCGCAGTGCTAACTGTGCCACTAGAGATCCTGGTTCGAATCCAGGCTCTGTCGCAGCCGGCCGCGACCGGGAGACTAATGGGCGGCGCACATTGGCCTAGCGTCGTCCAGGGTAGGGGAGGGAATGGCCGGCAGGGATGTAGCTCAGTTGATAGAGCATGGCGTTTGCAACGCCAGGGTTGTGGGTTCGATTCCCACGGGGGGCCAGTATAAAAAAATATGTATTCACTAACTGTAAGTCGCTCTGGATAAGAGCGTCTGCTAAATGACTAAAATGTAAATGTAAAATGTATGTTTTCCTTATATTTAGCTCACTTCCTCAATTCACTTTCATTTGAATGAGTGAGTTACCATTTAGTCCAGTAGATGGTACTAAATAACCAAACTATATTTACTGGTACAAAAGCTGAAGTTACCTTTGTGAGTCCAGTTATATTATATCCCTCACTCATTTCACTGGTTTCATGCAGATTTGAAAAGTTCATAATGAGCATTGTCAAAAGAGGACAGAAATTGTGTTACTAGTGAATCCCCTTATCAATGCTCAATCTGTATAGGATGTAATTAATCAATATAAAACTAAACAACAAATCTGTGAAGCTAAAACAGTATTTTCCATTTAATATGATCTTTATGATTTCTTAAGGTGAGTCAGGTTTCCCCAGTAAGAGCTAGAAGGAGAAAGGCTATTTCTGGTCTGAGAGAGCGGAGTGTCAGAGAGTCCGAATGTTTGCTCTCCAAACACAGGCTGAGCAGCCAACCATGAAAGGGCTGTTCAGACTGACTGACTGACTGATTCACTGACTAACTGATGGGTTGACTGACAGATTGACTGACTGACTGTTAGATGGACAGTATGTAGTAGTGGAAGGTATGCATGCATAACTTAATAAGATATTAGAATCCTGCCCCCATCCTCCATCCATCAACACTGTTCAACAACCCCACTTCTCTCATGATAGCAATTCATAAATACCATACATGGTACGACAAGCTAGCTCTTGCTCTCTGTCTCTCTCCCTCTGTCCCTTGTCACCCCTCCCTTTGCTGAGAGAGTGCCTCTCTCATTCTCTCTAGCTCGCTCCCTCTCCTCTCCTCTATCTCACACACACACAAATATGGACACACACACACACACAAACACAGACACACACACACACACACACACAAACAGTGAAAGCAATACTGCTAGAGAGGTAGGGCTCATCAACTGACAGGAAAGTTCCCCTTCCCCCGTTGTCTTTCTCACACATACACAAACACAGTCTCTCTTTCCTTTCTCTCTCTCTCCTACCTCACATACTCTCTCCACATAACTCTATATCTCTCTCCCTGTTCCTATCTCACTCAGTCTCTCTCCCTCTGTCTCGCTCTGTCTCTCTCTCTCTCTCTCCCTCCCCTAGCCTGAAAAATGCAGATTTTGACTCCGGCACCTGCCCTTACCTACAGCATAAAGGGCGAGACGGAGGCAACAGCAGAGCAGCACCTTGGTCCAGCCTCACCTTCCCATGGGATTTTCCACCTTCCTTCCTAACACAGAGCCCAGCTTTGTTTGTTGTTCTCTGGGAACACCGGGAACGTTCACTCAACTCTGTGGAGATAAAAGCAGAGAATTAAGCTCAACTCACCTGGCTGTGCATGAATGGATACCAGGAGAAGTCAAGATTCCCGTCTGGTTTTCCCATTTTTTAAAAAGAAACGTGAGGAATGGTCTGAGAGAACCTGGGAGTTCCGGGGTCTTTAACTGCGGGAGAGACAGACAGGTTTGGTGTGTGAACAAGGGAACGTGTCAGAGCAAGAGAGAAAGAGAGAGAGAAAGATACTTAATATATAAAGAACATATGAGAGCTGAAGTAGTTGTACGTAGATGAAGAGTAGATAAAGGCTATTTAGTCCATCTTTAAGGCTGGCTGGGTTTGGCATTGAACATAGACTATTTTCCTTATTATATTGTTTATCAGATGCAACAGGAATCATAGATTGATAACGTACAGTGTGTTTTTACTTTCAGACTGTTTCTTAGTGTTTGACAGAGTCTAGCTGTCATTGTGTGTGCTCAGGTGTTCCTAGTCCCATCCATTGTGGTGAGCCCTGAGGTGTTAGACGAGAGTTTTGTTGTATTCAGAACACATGGGCAGCCAGTTCACATGACTGACAGGGCTAAAGAGGAAGAGTTGTTTCACTTTGGACCTATGTTGGACTTTAATTAACTCAAACTGGACTGGTTCCTGTGGACTTTCCGTGAGGAGGACATTTTCTACCGCTGCCATTTTTGACCTTTGCAGTCTGACACCAGGAAGTAAATAAAACACAGCCAGGGAAGGGGGACTTCTCAACCTCCACACCCCAAACCTTATTCCTTAATCCAACCCAAAACAGGCTTGACCCTTGGTTAGCACGTTCCGCTGGTTTCCATGGTGACCCGGTCACCACGGTGACCACTCAGCATCATCAAGGTGGTAGCCAATAGCCATGCAGTCCCTGCACGGTAAACTGTCATCCGCCCAGGTCCATGTCTCTAGCTGGGTGGGCAGCATGCGTCGTTCCCTACAGGGGGCACTGAACTTAGTCTGGAAAAATGATGATGAGGAGGATGAGGTGGTGAAAGAAGATAAGGAGGAGGAGGAGAAGGAAGAGGCGAAGGAAGAGGAGGAGGAGGGAGAAGGTGGGGGCGGGAGGTTCCAGAGGGCCGTGTCTCCTCTGCGTAGCTTTGCCTCCCGGAGCCGGCGATCCCTGAGGTTGTTCTCAGTCCGGAGTCACCAGCGGATGAGGCTACGTAGACGGGCAGCAGACACCAGCGCTGTAAGAGAACCTGTCTGAACAATGTCATTATCTGCTCTTGAACCAGACTGTTTTTAGAATGAACATAGACCTAAAAGTGTTACTTAGCCAAACAGCTTAATTCCCTCAATAGTCCGTAGGGCCACTACCTCCACTTCTTTCTCCCCCTCCATCACCTTTCTAACTCTTTTTGCTTATTCCTATCCTTCTTCTCACCCCTCAGAGGCTTGTGTAGGCCTATGGCGTGTGTGTGTGTGTGTGCGTGCCGTGTTTATCAGTGTGCATACGGTTAGCATTTCCCTCTGTCAGTGGTGTGAATGAGAGTCTGGGGAAAGTGACAGGCCTGAGGGAAAGAGATAAGATCCATGGAAACACGGTTGTGTGTGTGTTTGTGTGTGTGTGTGTGTGTGTGTGTGTGTGTGTTTGTGTGTGTCTGTGGGCATGTATTTGTGTGTGTATGCTCCTTGCTATGAAATTCTGCTCATGCTAACCTCACACGCCACTCAAGGCCCATGTTTGCGTGTCCATGTATAGTCTTTCTATTCCTCTCACTACAGAACACATTTAGCAGAACCACACACCTGTATTTCATTGCTTATATCTCTGTAATAGAGCTCATGGTGTAGTTTGTGCTGTAGACCTGCAGAAAGGTAGAACGCTTCAGGGTGCAGCAATATGACCTCCATAACCACTAGTGTGTGTGAGTTTCTCGAAATTATTTGAGTGCCTTTTTTAAAACTCAGTTCTTTCTCGGAAGCGAGTATGGCTCCTTGCATATATTTTTTCAATGTCTGAATACGTGCATGGGTATTTTGGTGTGTGTTTGTGTGTGTCTATGTGTGTATGTGTCATTTATCGCTGCATTGTTTAGAGGACATGCTAGCTAGCATTAGGTCCTTTTTCAGTCTGGATGGCTTTGAGCCCCCCAATAACTTTACTGTGAAGCACAGATGTTAAAATGAGGTGTGACTGCAGAGTACTACCTGCTCTGTCTTGACTTGTAACACTCCCTCCCCCCTTATGATCCCTTATTGATGTCACTTGTTAAAGCCACTTCAATCCGTGTAGATGAAGGGGAGGAGACAGGTTAAATAAGGTTTTTAAGCCTTGAGACAATTGAGACATGGATTGTGTGTTTTATTCAGAGGGTGAATGGGCAAGACAAAAGATTTACGAGCCTTTGAACAGGGTATGGTAGTAAGTGCCAGGCACATCGGTTTGTGTCAAGAACTGCAACGCTGCTGGGTTTTTCATGCTCAACAGTTTCCCATGTGTATCAAGAATGGTCCACCACCAGCCAAGGACATCCAGCCAACTTGACAAAACTGTGGGTAGCATTGGAGTCAACATGGGCCAGCATCCCTGTGGAACGCTTTCGACACCTTGTAGAGTCCATGCCTCGACGAATTGAGGCTGTTCTGAGGGCAAAAGGGGGAGGTGCATCTCAATATTAGGAAGTTGTTCATAATGTTTTGTACACTCAGTGTATATGCTATCATAATTTCCTTACTTATTACTGCCCACATTATTTGACATTGTAACTTTTTATGTAAACAACGGTTAGCTGCCTTTTGGACTGCTATACAGCTGCCAATGCAACTCTGGTAATTTATCCCTGCTACTATACATACACTACATGACCAAAAGTATGTGGAAACCCCTTCAAATTAGTGGATTTGGCTATTTCAGCCACACCCATTGCTGACAGGTGTATAAAATTGAGCACACAGCCATGCAATCTCCATAGACAAACATTGGCAGTATAATGGCCCGTACTGAAGAGCTCAGTGACCTTCAACGTGGCACCGTCATAGGATGCCACCTTTCCAACAAGTCAGTTCGTCAAATGTCTGCCCTTCTAGAGCTTCCCCGGTCAACTGTAAGTGCTGTTATTGTGAAGTGGAAACGTCTAGGAGCAACAACGGCTCAGCCACGAAGTGGTAGGCCACATAAACTCACAGAACGGGATCGCTGAGTGCTGATGCACGTAGCGCATAAAAATTGTCTGTGCTCGGTTGCAACACTCACTACGAGTTCCAAACTGCCTCTGGAAGCAACGTCAGGGCAAAAACTGTTTGTTGGGAGCTTCATGAAATGGGTTCGCTGCCATTGGACTCTGGAGCAGTGGAAACACGTTCTCTGGAGTGACGAATCATGCTTTACCATCTGGCAGTCCGACTGACAAATCTGGGTTTAGCGAATGCCAGGAGAACGCTACCTGCCCGAATGCATAGTGCCAACTGTAAAGTTTGGTGGAGAAGGAATAATGGTCTGGGGCTGTTTTTCATGGTTCGGGCTAGGCCCCTTAGTTCCACCAAAGGGAAATCTTAACGTTACAGCATACAATGACATTCTAAACAATTCTGTGCTTTTCAACTTTGTGGCAACAGTTTGGGGAAGGCCCTTTCCTGTTTCAGCATGACAATGCCCCCGTGCACAAAACAAGGTCCATACAGAAATGGTTTGTCGAGATCGGTGTGGAAGAACTTGACTGGCCTGCACAGAGCCCTGACCTCAACCCCATCGAACACCTTTGGGATGAATTGGAACACTGAATCGCCCAACATCAGTGCCCGACCTCACTAATGCTCTTGTGGCTGAAAGTAAGCAAGTCCCTGCAGCAATGTTCCAACATCTAGTGGAAAGCCTTCCAAGAAGAGTGGAGGCTGTTATAGCAGCAAAGGGGGGACCAACTCCATATTAATGCCCATGATTTTGGAACGAGATGTTCGACGAGCAGGTGTCCAAAGACTTTTAGACATGTAGTGTATCAGACAGGGATGTGAAGGCCATATGGCTCTGTCCCAATGGGCCTTGGTCAAAGGTAGTGCACTATATAGTTAACAGGTTGCCATTGGAGACGGAGACGAAGTACACCCAGTCCTCCTGTCTGTCACTGTGCTTCCTCTATGAGGCCATAGCCTACTGTACTGTAGGCAAATCCGCTGAGAGAGGCTCATTCAGCCACACAGTGAGAAGGCCACCCAGACCAGAGTGACGCAGCACGATATGAAGCATTGTGCAAATGAAGTCACACTGAGATAATATCTTTCTCTCTCTCTCTGTGTGTGTGTAGCCTGACTCACCCAATCAATCAGCACAAGGCAGTAAAGTAGTTATGAAGGAAGATGTTTACCAAATCAAAAGCCGTTCCTCTCCCAGTGAGGTTGTTTTTGTTGCCGGGTAACATAAAAACGACAGTAGATTGGCATGTGCGCCTTGACAAACACTAGTGTGAGGTGAGGTTCAAAGAATGTGTTTTTGTGTGACTGTGTCAGTGTGTGTGTGTGTGTGTGTGTGTGTGTGTGTGTGTGTGTGTGTGTGTGTGTGTGTGCCTGTGTGTGTGTGTTTGTGTGTGTGTGTGTGTGTGTGTGTGTGTGTGTGTGTGTTTGTGCGTGCTCGTGTGGTGTTTGTGGAGGACAGTGTACCCTCTGTGTCCAGCTCATTAAAAGAGGCATGCTTGGCTGGTTGTTCAACCTCTTTCTTTCGCTGTTGTAGTTACCGCTCTTGGCTTTGTGTGTTCTCCCCAACACCGTTCTATTGCATCTCCTTCTCTTCTCCATGTTCAGGGGAAGATCTGAACAAGACTCCACAAAATATGGACAAGCATATTTGATGTAATCTTTCAGTTTACAAAAAGATGGTTGATAAGAGTTAACATCATACAGATACCGTAGCAAAGATCATACATCAGATAACATCATACATACATTACCGGTCCAAAGTTTTAGAACACCTACTCATTCAAGGGTTTTTATTGATTTTTTACTATTTTCTACATTGTAGAATAATAGTGAAGACATCAAAACTATGAAATAACACATATGGAATCATGTAGTAACCAAAAAAGTGTTAAACAAATCATATATACAGTGAGGGAAAAAAGTATTTGATCCCCTGCTGATTTTGTACGTTTGCCTACTGACAAAGAAATGATCAGTCTATAATTTTAATGGTAGGTTTATTTGAACAGTGAGAGACAGAATAACAACAAAAAAATCCAGAAAAACGCATGTCAAAAATGTTATAAATTGATTTGCATTTTAATGAGGGAAATAAGAATTTGACCCCCTCTCAATCAGAAAGATTTCTGTCTCCCAGGTGTCTTTTATACAGGTAATGAGCTGAGATTAGGAGCACACTCTTAAAGGGAGTGCTCCTAATCTCAGTTTGTTACCTGTATAAAAGACACCTGTCCACAGAAGCAATCAATCAATCAGATTCCAAACTCTCCACCATGGCCAAGACCAAAGAGCTCTCCAAGGATGTCACGGACAAGATTGTAGACCTACACAAGGCTGGAATGGGCTACAAGACCATCGCCAAGCAGCTTGGTGAGAAGGTGACAACAGTTGGTGCGATTATTCGCAAATGGAAGAAACACAAAAGACCTGTCAATCTCCCTCGGCCTGGGGCTCCATGCAAGATCTCACCTCGTGGAGTTGCAATGATCATGAGAACGGTGAGGAATCAGCCCAGAACTACACGGGAGGATCTTGTCAATGATCTCAAGGCAGCTGGGACCATAGTCACCAAGAAAACAATTGGTAACACACTACGCCGTGAAGGACTGAAATCCTGCAGCACCTGCAAGGTCCCCCTGCTCAAGAAAGCACATATACAGGCCCGTCTGAAGTTTGCCAATGAACATCTGAATGATTCAGAGGAGAACTGGGTGAACGTGTTGTGGTCAGATGAGACCAAAATGGAGCTCTTTGGCATCAACTCAACTCGCTGTGTTTGGAGGAGGAGGAATGCTGCCTATGACCCCAAGAACACCATCCCCACCGTCAAACATGGAGGTGGAAACATTATGCTTTGGGGGTGTTTTTCTGCTAAGGGGACAGGACAACTTCACCGCATCAAAGGGACGATGGACGGCGCCATGTACCATCAAATTTTGGGTGAGAACCTCCTTCCCTCAGCCAGGGCATTGAACATGGGTCGTGGGTGGGTATTCCAGCATGACAATGACCCAAAACACACGGCCAAGGCAACAAAGGAGTGGCTCAAGAAGAAGCACATTAAGGTCCTGGAGTGGCCTAGCCAGTCTCCAGACCTTAATCCCATAGAAAATATGTGGAGGGAGCTGAAGGTTCGAGTTGCCAAACATCAGGCTCGAAACCTTAATGACTTGGAGAAGATCAGCAAAGAGGAGTGGGACAAACTCCCTCCTGAGATGTGTGCACATCTGGTGGCCACCTACAGGAAACGACTGACCTCTGTGATTGTCAACAAGGGTTTTGCCACCAAGTACTAAGTCATGTTTTGCAGATGGGTCAAATACTTATTTCCCTCATTAAAATGCAAATCAATTTATAACATTTTTGACATGCGTTTTTCTGGATTTTTTGTTGTTGTTATTCTCTCTCACTGTTCAAATAAACCTACCATTAAAATTATAGACTGATCATGTCTTTGTCAGTGGGCAAACGTACAAAATCAGCAGGGGATCAAATACTTTTTTCCCTCACTGTATAGCCACCCTTTGCCTTGATGACAGCTTTGCACACTCTTGGCATTCTCTCAACCAGCTTCACCTGGAATGCTTTTCCAACAGTCTTGAAGGAGTTCCCACATATGCTAAGCACTTGTTGGCTGCTTTTCCTTCACTCTGCGGTCCGACTCATCCCAAACCATCTCAATTGGGTTGAGGTCGGGGGATTGTGGAGGCCAGGTCCTCTGATGCAGCACTCCATCTTGGTAAAATAGCCCTTACACAGCCTGGGGGTGTGTTGGATCATTGTCCAGTTGAAAAACAAATGATAGTCTGGCGTATCGCTGCAGAATGCTATGGTAGCCATGCTGGTTAAATCACAGACAGCGTCACCAGCAAAGCACCCCCACACCCTAACACCTCCTCCTCCATGCTTTACGGTGGGAACTACACATGCAGAGATCATCCGTTCACCCACACCGCGTCTCACAAAGACACGGCGGTTGGAACCAATCTCCAATTTGGACTCCAGACCAAAGGACAAATTTCTACTCTCCATTCCATTGCTCTTGTTTCTTGGCCGAAGCAAGTATCTTCTTCTTATTGGTGTCCTTTAGTAGTGGTTTCTTTGCAGTAATTCAACCATGAAGGCTTGATTCACACAGTTTCCTCTGAACAGATGTTGAGATGTGTCTGTTACTTGAATTCTGTGAAGCATTTATTTGGGCTGCAAATCTAATGAACTTATCCTCTGCGGCAGAGGCAACTCTGGGTCTTCCATTCCTGGGGCGGTCCTCATGAGAGCCAGTTTCATCAAAGCGCATTATGGTTTTTGTGACTGCACTTGAAGAAACATTCAAAGTTCTTGAAATGTTCCATATTGACTGACCTTCATGTCTTAAAGTAATGATGGACTGTCGTTTCTTTTTGCTTATTTGAGCTGTTCTTGACATAATATGGACTTAGTCTTTTACCAAATAAGGCTATGTTCTGTATACCCCCCTACCTTGTCACAACACAACTGATTGGCTCAAACGCATTAAGAAGGAAAGAAATTCCACAAATTAACTTTTAAGAAGGCGCACCTGTTAATTGAAATGCATTTTAGGTGACTACCTCATGAAGCTGGTTGAGAGAATGCCAAGAGTGTGCAAAGCTGTCATCAAGGCAAAGGGTAGCTATTTGAAGAATCTCAAATATAAAATATATTTTGATTTGTATAAAACGTTTTTGGTTACTACATGATTCCATATGTGTTATTTCATAGTTTCGATGTCTTCACTATTATTCTACGATGTAGAAAATAGTAAAAATAAAGAAAAACCCTTGAATGAGTAGGTGTTCTAAAACTTTTGACTGGTAGTGTACACTGAGTGTACAAAACATTATGAATACCTTCCTAATATTGAGTTGCACCCCCTTTTGCCCTCAGAAAAGCCTCAATTTGTTGGGGCATGGACTCTACAAGGTGTTGAAAGCTTTCCACAGTTGTGTCAAGTTGGCTGGATGTCCTTTGGGTGGTGGACCATTCTTGATACACACGGGAAACTGTTGAGCGTGAAAAAGGCAGCAGTGTTGCAGTTCTTGACACACTCAAACTCATGTCTTAATTGTCTCAAGGCTTAAAATTCCTTCTTTAACCTGTCTCCTCCCCTTCATATACACTGATTGAAGTGGATTTAACAGGTCACATCAATAAGGGATCATATCTTTCACCTGGATTCACCTGTTCAGTCTATGTCATGGAAAGTGTTTTGTACACTCTGTGTACATCATACAGGTATCATAAATAGGTCGGCATACATGCAATGCTCCTTACATTAGCATTATATCGGCCCTCTGAGTGTCAGCTGAGTATCAGTATCTGTTCTACTCCCGGCAAAGTGTCCTTCTCCACGAAACTTACCTACATTTTTGATAATGGTCCCTCTCTGTTTTCTCTTTCTCTCTCTCCCCCCCCCCAGGACCAGTTGAGGTGTTGTGTAGGGGCAGGAGAGGGACGTGACACAGAGGCTCTGATTGGTGGAGAGCCAGACAAGCAGTATGGGGGCTGTGACACGAGACTGTCTGAGGATGACTGGTGGGTGCACTGCAAAACAGGGGAACCATACTATAGTCCTATAGTACTGATAAGTATAGTAGGGTGCAGCTCAATATTCTTAAGTAGCGCCCTCTCCTGGTCTCATCTCTCCTTTACCTGTTCTGATGTGAGAAGACAGGATACGAGTCTATCTTAATAGTCTTAAGTAGCTTCCTTACCTTGTCTCCTCTTCTTTATCTGCTGTGAAGAGACAGGATAGGACAGGGAAAAGTCGTATGGCTTCTTCTGACCTCTGCTGGTTTATTAAATGCATTTCAGGGTAGTGTATACTGAACAAAAATATAAATGCAACATGCAACAATTTCAACGATTTTACTGAGTTACAGTTCATATAAGGAAATCAGTCAATTGAAATAAATTCATTAGGCCCTAATCTATGGATTTCACGACTGGGCAGGGGCGCAGCCATGGGTGGGCCTGGGAGGGCATAGGCCCACCCAATTGGGAGCCAGGCCCAGCCAATCAGACTGAGTTTTTCCTCACAAAAGGGCTTTATTACAGACAGAAATACTCCTCAGTTTCATCAGCTGTCCGGGTGGCTGGTCTCAGACGTTCCTTCAAAACTTGAGACATCTGTGGCATTGTGTTGAGTGGCCTTTTATTGTCCCCAGCACAAGGTGCACCTGTGTAATGATCATGCTGTTTAATCAGCTTCTTGATATGCCACACCTGTCAAGTGGATGTATTATTTTGGCAAAGGAGAAATGTTCACTAACAGGGAATGTAAACAAATTTGTGCACAACATTTGAGAGAAGTAAGCTTTTTGTGCATATGGAACATTTCTGGGATTTTTTTTTCAGCTCATGAAACATGGGACCAACACTTTACATGTTGCGTTTATATTTTTGTTCAGTATATAAAATGGGCACATCTCAATGGTTTGGTATACCCACATTAATTATTGCAGTACCAGAAAAATATCAACAAAGTGGACGAAAGCTCCCAAGTTCCCAAATACTTGGAAATCCCTTTTATTTGTCTATGTTTGTCAACTTTTTTTATATACTAAGTTCAGATATCTTGCCCACCAACCTGAATCTTTTGGGCTTTTGTAGTTGAATTATGTTTTGATCTCTTTTGAATTCCCCACATCCTCAGTCCGCAGATGACAGAGGACCAGATCTCGCCTGTCATCACACCAGATGAGCCTGACAGTACGTCTCCACTAGAAGAAACAGAGGACCAGGTCTTACCTGTCATCACACCAGATGAGCCTGACAGTACGTCTCCACTAGAAGAAACAGAGGACCCATTACCCTTTCCTGATGTAAGTCTCTTGTCAAGGCCTATCTGGTACTTTCCACTAGGCATGTAAGCATTTACAGGCTATACAGTACTTGATTTTGCTTGTTCCTATGTGTGTGTGTACATACAGATCTCCGCCCCTCTATTGGACACCAGTGTTCTGCGTGCGAGGGCAGAGCTGAGGAAGAGTCGACGAACCCGCCCCCCTCGAACTGTCCGTCAGAGCTCTACCACAGTAATGCTTGAGGAAGACCCAGTCCACGACTGGAGGTTCTATGACTCCTCAGGTTAGGAGACAATTCCATATCAACCCATAGGATTGACCTTCCCCATGCACTATAGTTCTAGGAAAAAGGGTAATAGCTACACCTTGCCCTCTGATAGGCTAGGTGGAAAACTTACACCAATCTCATCCTTTCAGATACACACAAGTGGCTAGAAGGTAGGGCTTAAGGATTATTACAACCATCCCTCATGTAAGGTAATTCACACAAGACCAACCATCTGTTTTACCCATTTTGCAGATAAGGTGGACTCGCTGACACGGGGGGATTGTGAGTCTGATGAGGAGCAGCCCAGAGGGAGGGAGGTTTGTTCACCACCTTCCCAGCCCCAGAGAATAGCCCTCTTCTCTGGAATGGACCCATCTGCCCTCAAGGTACATGCTCTCAGCGCCCCTATTTTACAACCTGAAACACTGGGTGCTTCCCAAATGCCACCCTTTTCCCTGTGTAGGGCCAACGGGGCTCTGGTATAAAAAGTAGTGCATTATATAGGGCAGGGGTATTCAAATCCTACATTGGAGGTCTGAAGTACTGCTGGTTTTCTGTTCTACCTGATAATTAATTGCACCTACCTGGTGTCCCATGTCTAAATCGGTCCCTGATTAGAAGGGAAGCATAAAAAAGCAGTGGAATTGGCTTGGAGGTCATGATTAGAATTTGAGGAATATAGGGAATAGGGTGCAATTTGGGACGCACCCTAAGGCTGAAATTCAATCAAACCTGCACTGCTGATCATCTGCACTGCATGTGGAAAAACAACTAATTTCCTGCACCATAGAAAGTGCATTTTGGATGATAAACAAAACAAGTGTGATTGTTTACAAGTTATTTCTTACAGCAGGAATCAGGACAACATTCATTTAGAAATATTTTTTACAGTGCAGGACCAATATGATTTTGCTTAGTAAGGGTTTTCCTGTACTATCAAAAATGTCTATAATATGACTTGTTCATATCTTAAATGTATCACTGGCTCTCCTAGGCCCAACTGAAGAAGCGAAGAGGTGGAGGAGGTGGTGGAGCCGGTGGAGGTGAAGGAGTAGACACAGACCGTCAGACGGACAGACTTGCCCCGTCCCCCTCTCAGCTCTCCCGCTCTCCCAGACGTTCCTCCTTCCTCCCCGGGGCATCACGAGTGCTGCCCCCTGTAGGGAACAAAGGTGGAGGGTAAGTTTACTCCCAACATGCTGCTCTTATGTTACTAGCATAAAACCACACAAGTATTTTTACTATTTTTTAAAATCTTATTCAACATGAAGCAACAAAATGTGAATGAGAAAAAAAGAACAATATGATATAACAACAAGCAATGCAGATTTCATAGTTACCTGGCTACATTAGTTAGCTATTAGCTACAATAGTTAGCTGCAAGGCAAACCGTTTGATCTTTGTTTGTGTGACCCTCAGGGGGGACACGTCTCCTTCATGGCTGCGAGAACTCAAGTCTAAGAAGCGCTCGAGTCAATACAACAGTGAGGCCTAGCTGAGCAGAGCAGGGTGAGGGGATGGACCCAATTTTACACCTAATATTACAAAACGAAATCCAGATCTGATCACATTCCAATTCTATCCACACCTTAAAGTGATAGTTAACTCCAAAGAAAGCCTAACGTTTGTTAAAGTGATGCTCCAGAACTTTTGTATAATTTCAGCCAGTAGTTTTGAAAGTGGTGCTCACTTTGGTGTACTATGTCATCCAGTTGTGTACTGTGTCATCCAGTTGTGTACTACATCATCTATGTTGTATTATATGTTATGTCCTGCTAAAAAAAAACGTTGCAATATGTATGATATGTTACGAATCCAATTCGTAAAATATGTTACGAATTTGTTGTGCTTAAGATCCCAGACAACATCTTTAAGTTTGCAGATTGACGATGTCAGACACAATTTAATTTTGGAGTGAACTATCACATTAACATATGCCCCCTATCTGTGTCATGTAAATGATATTTGATTTCTGTTTACCTCTAGGAGATACCATTGACATGGAGATCATCCAACTGCTACTGCAGTTATTGCTGCTGACAAACACCCCTGTGACAAACACAGCTGTGGGCTGGACTCCAATCATGTGCCTTTTCAGAAACTCACTTTTTTTATGGATGAAGATACTTCCCTGCATTGTGACTATCCTTTTCCACGTTTCTATTTGTCAAAGGAACTATGAGCATGTAGACACTTTATTTGCAACACACACACACACACACAAACAAAGATGATTCAAGGAGTCGACTCAAAATGCCTTTTTCTGTTAATTTGCAACATTTGGACAAGTGCCTCTTATCCCAGGCCACTATATTTTCTAGACTGTTTCTCTCCATCCATCCATACTTGCATTCCACATTCGCTTGACATAATTACCATGTGTGTTTAGGTCATGTACACAAATATCCACAATACCGCGATGTTCACAGACATACTTGAATTGTACATGTTTTGCCACCTAGCCATGAACTCTCCTTCTTTCTCAATTAATCTCTTGTTTTGAACTAACCCGTCTGTTTCTCTGCTCTGTTATGTTATGCACTCACGCGCTGCTCGGATGAGCTGCTCTTGATAAAAGCATCTGCTAGATAAATCGATATTATCACTACTCTATCCAAACAGGAAAAGGGGGAGGAGGATGTCTGTCTGGAGGTTTTTGAATAACTTCCTTAAAACCTTTACTGAATGTCTCAAGACTTTTTAAATCAGGGGTTGGAGCAAAATTATTTTCCAATCGTTTCGTTCTTAATAGAACCATAATTGTTTTCGTTCTGTTCCACTGTTCCGACCAACAAAATAAAGTTCTGAACCGGTTCAAACCCCATAAAAGTACCAGTTTATATCATTCCTTTCTGTTTTATTTTTATTTTTTACATTAAGCTCAACATTAAATTACTTCACCAATTGGTGCAGACAGAGCAGCTTGCTATGGAGCTGGCAAGCTATAGTTGTTTACATGAGTGATGGAAGAGTGTAGGGTGAGAGATGCGACTGACATTTTGCTGGTGGGGAGATAACAAGAGAGGGTGGAGGAGGCTTGTTATGCATGTCATCTTGTTATGACATGCATTATCTAAATTAGGCCCACAGAATTATACATAAGGAGTAGCGGCTTCTATGGAGGAACTTTGAATCTCTTTGAACTTCAGGTAGTTGTCTTAATGAGATACGGCCTCTGCAGAAGTCAGGGCATTTATACTTCTTGCGCTTCACAGAGCAGTGCAGAGCTGTTGAGCAAAGCTGTTGTCAAGGAAGTGAGTTTGTGTTTATACAGGGCCTCGCCCCCACCTACCGTCAACCACTCATGTTAATGCGGAGCTATACGGAGCCCTCAGCATTGTTACAAAATTTGAGAGGCGCACAGTGATGCGGTACAGAGCTCAATTTGGCCTCTGCATGCCTCCGGAAGCTCTGCATTGCGTCACAACCTCCATACGGAGCCTCTGACCACATCGGATCAAGCATAAATTGTATTTTAGTAGGCTACATGCTTCAGAGGGAGGTAGCCTACACACGCACACACACACACACACACACACACACACACACACACACCACACACACACTGGCAAATATTTTCACCTGGCAGGCAGACACTGGAAGAAGTTTCTGAGTGACAGAGGGAGGGCTTTGCATAGGCACTTTATTGTGTTTTTTGTGGGACTGGTAAAAAAAATGCCACAATTTGTAAAATAACATTATTAACCGGTTCCCATGCTTTTAAAATAACAGTTCAGTTCACTTTTTTATTTACTCCAAGAAGAGATAGGACACATGGAAATGTATTTAATTAGGCATTAATCATGCAAAAACATGAATTTCTTTATTGTGACACGCCATCAATGAGATTCAAACCTATAATCTCTGTTAGTCCACTGCGCCACCAGGATGGAGCTAGCATGACATGTTTTGTTATGCATACAAAGCTGTTCATTTTTGTTTATTCCAACAGACCCCATTTCAAAGGAAACAAGCACTCATTAAGATCATGTGTGGCCAATTAGTGGGCGTGGCCAACACACCTGAACACACTTAACAAGATAGAGGCTAAAGAGAGTTTTGTTAAAGCTGAGAACAGAATGTATATGTTTTTAAATAACATTCTTAAAACAATTCTATGAACGTTATCTTGTGGTTTTTATGGAAGGTTTTCTTAACATTCTAGGAACAATTTGAGAACATGGCTTTAAATAGAAACCTTTAGGAAACGTTATGCTGAAGTACTGAAATTCCCACAGAAGAATATTGTTTCTTAACGTTCTCTTAAATATTTGTCAACATTCCCAAATGTCAAACCAGTTGGAGAACGTTCCTAAAACATCACCAAAATTTAAATTAAATGTAACAATATTTGACATTACTGTTAAAGTAATGAAATACCAAGAATTTTTTTTTTTTGTCAAGTTCCTTAAATGTGCTATTTTTTCCCCAGCAAGTTGTGGGAAGGTTGTATGCAAAATAACCATAGGACAACCATGCTCTCACCAACCTCTAAGACCCAGCTAGCACATTTGGTTCCATGGAAGTTGTGGGAATGTAAGTTTTTGGTTTCCCATTTGTTCTGGGAACGAAGCCATACGTTTCCTGACTGGTCAAGTTTTTTTAACATTCTGAAAACGGAAGTAAAAATGTTGCCTGTTCTGGGAACGTTCATTTTTAGGGTGCAGGGAAGTTCTGAGAACATTTTACTATGGTTCCCTGAAAGTTTTCCTGGGAGGTTTTATTAACGTTCTGAGAACAGAAATTATAGGTTATTTGAAGGTAATTAAATAATGTTCTGAGAATATTCTCTAAATGTTGTGAATGTTTTGAACGAAATGTAAATGTTATTTGGAGGTTTTTGAAAAACTTCCTTAAAACGTTCACTGAATGTTTAAAAAATACTTTTAATAACACTGCTAGCTCAGTTTGGGTTAACTGTCCTGAACTCCAAGCAAAGATACCTAAGCAAAATTAATTTGCTTAGGCATTAATCATGCAAACACATTCCTATTTCATTGTGGCATGGCGCCAGTAAGATTCAAACCTATGATCTTCTGTTCTCTATCCATGCTATTAGTCCACTGCTCCACCAGGATGGCGCTAGCGTGCCATGTTTTTTTAAAACTGAAACAAAGCTGTTCATTTTAGTCTATTCAAAACACACCCCATTTCAATGTAAACAAGCACTCATTAAGATCAGGTGCGGCCAATTAGTGGGCGCAGCCAACACACCTGAACACACTTAACAAGACGGAGGCTAGAGAGTGTTTTGTTGTTAGAACGTTCTTTGAATGTTACTAATGTTTTCTTGTGGTTTTTATGGAAAGCTTTCTTAATGTTCTGAGAACATGACTTTAAATAGATCCATGAGGAAACATGCAGAAAACGTTATGCTGATGTACTGAAATTCCCACAGAAAAACGTTGTTTCTTAACGTTCTCTGAATGTTTGAACTTTTAGGAAACATTCTGTTAAAGTAATGAAATACCAAAGTTGTGGGAAGGTTGTATGCAAAATAACCATAGGACAACCACGCTCTCACCAAGCTCTAAGAAACAATTGTAAAGTGGTTATCCCACTGGCTATAGGGTGAACGCACCAATTTGTGAGTCGCTCTGGCTAAGAGCGTCTGCTAAATGACGTTAATGTGCCC